TTTCAGTATGATCCTAGTTTGAGTGCTCTGATATGATATTACCCAGTTACAGGACAGGATGGAAGTATGTCAAGTCTGTTCCAATACCTGATCCAAGACAGTTTTCATTCAGACCAGTGTTTACCCTGATATTGATATTTGGTACCAAACTGGTGCCTTCCTAGATGCCTTAATGTTTTATTGTCCTTTTGTATACAGTTTTAAGCACATACTTCTGTTCCTTTATGTTGATAGCTAAAGCGTGCCTGTTTCATGGTAGACAGTGACTACATCCTCATACAGATTAAACCTGGCTTAGTACCATAATTCTCAAGTGGTGTCTGTAAAAGCATAATAGCCATAGGGTCTGTGTCTTTTTAAAATTTGTCACTGTAGTGGAAAGCCACTAGCATTATCAAAGTTATTATGCCTATGTCAAAAGGAATCTAATGACAATTTTTATAAAAATAGATTCTGTGGGTGGAAAGTTCAGAACTGTTCTGAGGAGATCTATGACTTTTTTTTAACAGTTAATAGGGTAACTAACTGCAGGTTCCCTGGTTTGAAGGACAAGGTAGTTAGGTAAAACCTTACTTATAATGTAAGTTTGGGGAAACTGTCATGCAGTGTATACAACTTGAAAGTAACATATGACTTCATGTATCTTTAAGGCCAAACCATTCACATGGTGGGATTGTTACAAAATCATTGCACCACTGAAAACACAACTTTGAAATGTCATTTATACCACTATCATGTTACCATGCAAAATGGCAAACATTTAAATAGTGAGCTTTGCTGTATAATACCTGTGTAATACTTGTTGTTTGCTGCAGCGGACACTCTGTCTGTGAGCACAGTGCCTGTGGGTGAGGTGGCACTGCAACCTGGGTCCCCTCTAAGCCTCACGTGTCTCGTGTCAGGTGCGGGTTCATGGAATCGCTCGGCTCTGCTGGTGCAGTGGTTGCGGCGTGGGCCAGCAGGTGGAGTGGAAGTGGAGGTGGCCCGCATGAGCCCCAACGGTGTGGTGAGCTGGGGCGATGATATCAGCAGCGAAGGAGGGGGCAGCATGGAGAAGGGGGCAGAGGGGAGATTTTCTCTGCGACGCTTCTCTGCCCATCCAGCCGATGCTGGCCAATACCGCTGCGCTGTGAGTGTGTATGCTGGTCAGCTCAGTCCAGCACCATCCAGCCCTGCTACACTTACTCAGAGGTCTGAGGGCGTAATGGTCAGCCTCAAGACTAAAGGTGAGTGGCTGTGAGCACAGATGTTGACTTTTGTACTGATAATTACATTTACATTTACAGCATTTGGCAGACGCCCTTATCCAGAGCGACTTACAATTATCTCATTTATACAACTGAGCAGTTGAGGGTTAAGGGCCCAGCAGTGGCAGCTTGGTGGTGCTGGGATTTGAACTCTCAACCTTCCGATCAGAAGTCCAGATAATATATGGTAATATATAACAATTATGGTTTTAATGTTATACTAGTCTAGATGATGTACAAATATTGTTCCTTTTAGGCATGGCACATCTCTCGAAATGTTACAATTAGGGAAGCTTAGATTTACAGGGCAAACAAGCCTGGTGAAAATAACAGAAAACTGTATTTCTACAATGGGCAATGTAGAAAACGTTTACGTGTAAATGTTTGCATAAGCCATAGTGAACCAAAAAATTTGTACATGCTGATCTTCTTTGTATTTGCATGTTTGTTGATAAATCACCCGTAAATTACTGGGCATGTGCATGCCACAGCTGATTTGTGTTTGACGGAAACAGCCAAAAAAAGAAAAATTTCTCTTAGGCAGAAGTTGAAGTACTTTTGACTCACAAGTTTACAAGAGCTAAAAAAAATATTATTTAGCAGCATCCAGCAGAGCAACAGCACCTGAAAAGGCCAAAATATTTAAAGAAATTACGAAGGTGAATTGGGTATCGTCTATCCAGCACAATATAAGTGCAGTCAAAAGAAAATAATTTGACACAAATACTGAGTAAAAAAAAAGGATTACTTCTAATTGACAGAGTTTCTTTGAGACTGGGGGAGGTCAAAGCTTTTTAAGATTGACCAGATTCCGTGGCAAGTAAAATCATCTTATAAGCCATCTTTCATCTTTGGGGGGGTGACCTCTTTAAATATCTGTTGCCTCCTAAGGGCATCATGTGCTAACTCTTCCAGTAATATCAATTCTGCTATTTGCACCGCTTATATTTACACATAAATCTGTTCATATCCAGTTGGATAAATGAGACCCATTGTTTTTATGTGCCACTTAAGGATAAAAGCGATCATCTTATCAATTGTTTCAATTAAATAATGTATACAGATGTATGCAGAAAACATTTACATTTATTTACATTTACTTATTGGGCTGAAAAGCATTATACTGAGTTGTGAGGTTGGCATAGCATTTCTCATATCATTCCTCTGCTATAGCATACTCTAAAGACTGGTTACAAATGTGGAGCCTAAGTTTAAAATGCTGATTCTCCCTGTGTTGGCACAGAGGTGAGCGTACTGGCAGTCGTCGAGTTACCACGTTGGCCACTCCTGAAACGTGGGAGCACCATCACCTTGCTCTGTAATGTCTCTGTGGTGACCAAAGGCCCCATTCAGGTGGAAGTGCAGTGGTGGCACAAGAAGCTGGATGGGAAAGAAGACATGCCCCCATTGCATGCCAAAGGCAGTATCCTCGCAAAACTGACCTATGATGGAATGTCTCGTATCTACAGTAATGGAAGTGAATTGAGCGTTGACCGTATTTCTGCTGGAACCTACAGACTACGTATCTTTTCAGCACATGAGGATGACCAAGGAGATTACCTATGTCAGGCAGAAGTATGGGCCCAGGACCCCCATGGAGGCTGGTACAACACAGGTGCCAGGGCAGAGTCAGCCATGGTACACGTATATTTATATGCACGAGGTAAATTTAAGGAAGTACATTTTCAAAAGAAAGAAACAGACCATGTCATATTGTGGCTTTGTTTGTGTCTCTCCTTCCCCTTTCTTCTTGCCCTTATATGTTTTACTAAAAACTAAAGTTTTAGTTTAGTTTTTTGGTAGTTTAGCTGTTTCCTAACCACTGTGGGTAAATATATATATGTGAGAATATATCTACATCTAGCAACGGCACTCATCAGAGAACATATTGGTGGTCTTTTTACTGTTAAGCCTTTATTAGAGTGAGAGAGAGAAACCTTATTAAAGTAAGAGATATTATGGAAAATCTTAGCTATTTGCTTTGATTAATTTTGGTGCATACCTAAAGTTGCCTGCAACAGTAATCTACTGAATTAGTTTGGTGAGCAACACTGGTATGCTATTGTTTATAAATGTTTGCCAATAAGAGACAGTCTGAACTGCTGAACTACTGTATAAGGATCTGTTGTCTGCATTCATTTTCTCTCTCTTTTTGTCCAGTTACTGACCTTCTCCTTATACCACTGGTGGTTGGTGTCTCCTCTGCCCTGTTTGTGGGAGTGGTCGTCATTGCCATGGTAACATGCTGCTTCATGAAGCGACTTGCCAGGCAACGCTCCCAGATAAGGAAGTAGGAAACTGTCTGGCTTCCGTACAACAATTACTGGCAGGCCAATAAAGAAACTGTATGGATTAAAAATATAAATATAACTAAGAGTGTACTTGATGGAGGAATTAAGTATACTGACTTCTGTTGGCATGTTTATGAGAGACAGCTCTGATTGTTGGGTTGAATTATTAATTCAAAATGTGCCAACAAGTACATTCTTTTCTTTTAAGTCACAGTTAGCCTAATTGTGTTGGGTATAACGTTTAAACTGTCACATTTGCAGCATCCAATACTTGTCAGCTGCTTAAGGTGGCTTTTTTGTTTGTTTCAAAGGATGGACCATATTTTTGTGCATTTTTTTTTTTATAAATGTGATTTAATGTTTAACAAAATCTGGTTTTAGTACAAGAAACTATATATAGTGTTCCTATATAGCATGCCATAAATGTTGTACCATTCTTTTTATGGTATTTATGAAACAAACTAAGCAAAATGTTGCACTGACCTCTGAAGAGTTAAAGACAAGCCATCCCTGGTACTTATACACTCATAGCCCACACACAGTTCATGCACTCTGTACTGTAATTAAGCAAACCCTTGATGATAGGAATTAGTTCACAGTGGGTGGAATAAGCTAAACACTGTGTGTAGCATCCCAGCAATTTAGAAATCAACTTGGAGCCACTGAATGAATAGAACCATGCCACTACAGTAGTAGTTAGTCATATACCGAATTAAACTAGCAGTGATACTACACACCGTAAAATAAATTCAATTACCGGAAAGAAACTTGACCACCTTATAAAAAGTGAAAATGCTGATAAATATGATTTGTATATTCTACTGCTGAAAGGCTGATGGGTGCTCTCCTTACACTGCAATAAAGCAGTACTTGTATGTAACATCAACAGTCAGTAGACACAGCTTGAAATGTAGAGACTCTAACTTACATGCTGTTGCAAAAACTGAGCATCTGGGTCAAATCAGACAAACCTTGAGTAGACTTCTCAGCCAAATCAGCAGGACCAAAGTGGTCAGAGACCAAAGCAATTGTTAATATTTTTTTCATAAAAGCTGTATTTTGAACCTTTTATATTTTGCATGACTTCTGTTTTATTGGGTTTCTTGTGTTGCACTGCTATTGAGTTGGTACTGTGAAATAGATTTCTTTTTAAAAAATACATTTATGCTTTGTGTTGTATGAATAAGGAAGATCATTGTGCACTCAAGCACAATTTCTATTGCTATTTTCTTTACATCTCATATGGGATTTAACCACAGTAAGTTGAAAGAAAGAGAAAAAGAAAAGGGGATACTGGATTAGGTCATGAATACAGGAAAAATGATAGGCATGTATCTGAGGCACTTCTGTCAAATTTTTGGATAATTGATCTGATTGCTGTTTTCAACTGTGATTTAGGAGATAATGAAGATCTCTGATCTTTGTGATTGTTAATATGGTTAATACATTTGGAAAGTTACTGTCCCTGGAGGGCTAGTGGTTAGGCCTCGGTGCTCTCACTGCTATGGACTGGGTTCGATTCCCGGCCTGGGGTTGCATACGACAGTGTACTCCTAGTGCTGGTCCCAAGCCCAAATAAAATTGGGGAGGGTTGCATCAGGAAGGGAATCTGGCATAAAAACTGTGCCTAATCAAGTATGCAGACCAATGATCTACTGTGGCAACCCTAACTAGAAGGAGAACAACAGCAACAACATTTGAAAAGTTACTGAACACACTTTGCTATTGCATGTTATAGTGCTTTGCAACGTTCAGCTCACAAAACTGAAAGCAGAGTTACCCTCTTACCCAGCTGGGCCATTTCACCATTTCAGTGAGAGTAACGCAACACTAGTTGTCTATTAATCCTTATGTTTACATTGCAAAGACACTCTTCTCCCCCCACTAAATCTGTCACGCACTGTTCTGGAGTTGTACAGCTGTTCAGTGCAGCCTAGTAGCCTTTTTTTTTTTCCATTCTTAGACTAGTTTTTGCTGGATGGTTCTGCATGGTTTTTCATGGTCAGGCTTGGAATCTCTTAGCAAACCCATGCAAATGTCAGGCCTCAGAAGTAATGTACCTAAAATCACATAGGCACAAGTGAATTTACTATGTACCGTCTTTTCTTGTGGTTTTTTTTTATGTGAAATATAATAATGATTAGACTGCCTATTTTTTGTTTTTAAAGCTAATTTCTGTGATTTTGTAATTTAATTAGATGTCCATTTTCCACTGCATTTTGCAAGTGTTGACAGTGAACTGTGATTATTTTCATTGTCAGTGTCTGCTTGTACTGTGTAATTGTGGTTTAGGGACATGAATAAGTAATAAAATCAAGATAATAAAAGACTTATGAATAAATTATTAAAGAAGTAACACTGATTTAAATAATACAGTACATAGTATTTATAAATAACTCTGAGTGTCACACTTGGTCAAAGTTGTATATGGTCAAATCTGTTTGTAAAAGCGTCACAATTCAAAATAAATTTCTGCAAGTTCAACATGTTAGCGAAAAGGGGCGCACTTTAGGGTGGTTCCTGGTATAGCATTGTATATTATCCATCAGAGGTTTGGGGGAAGTTCTGCGCTTTGAGATTTGACATTTTCATGGACTTAGTTTCGGCCTTCAGGGGCGCACCTCAAAACTCAGGGAATCACCTGCCTTACCTGTCCTGTAGTTACATATATAGGCATATGTGACAATCCCCCTACACTTACTCACACTGGTTACTATTAAAGTGCCAAACCACCTGCTTAATCTGATCAAATTCAGATTACAGATTTCAGGTCATTTCAGGGCTTTTGAAAATTTCCAGGGTTTTGGGCATTCAAACTGATAGACCATGTCATAGTAATAGGGCTATTTTTACTGAAGGGAACTGCTCCAGTAAAAATAGATCTAATAATTAAAAAATAAATGACCCCCCGTATTGAGTATGGATCTATTGTTACATCGTTGCCTATCAGGGAATCTTCATGTGACTCTATAAAGTCATAATGAAGAATTCTGTTTAAGGTTTTCGTTGACAGTTGAACAGATCAATAGCCTACTTTACTGTTTTTTTTTTCTTTTTTTATTTTATCTTAAAGCCAGGCAAATTCTGCAGCAGGTTTATCTTATTATAAATATTTCCATGCAAAAAAATTCCAAAATTGCAATTGGAAAGAACAGGTAGGTCTTCTGAAAGTAAATTTCTTTCTCAGATATGATCAGTTTTAAATTGATTACCCTTTTCTAATGTGATAGCATTCACTATCCTTGTGTATTTTCTAATACTTTTTGACCATTACCATATCCTGTTCCCTAGTGTATTATGTCATCACTGGACGGGTATTGTAGTCCTGTGAATATCTGTAAATATGGCCAGCATTTGAAAATATTACACATTATTACGCATTATGAACTACTCGCAGCATGAAAACACAGAAAGGAAACAAAACTAACTGAAACACTAAATGCAGTGAATAAGGAAACAGATCTTACACTAAAAGTAAAACTAAGAGACAGTTTTAACTAACTGGAATTGTACACTGCCAGCAATATTACAATGCGCATGGCTAGAAAAGATTAAACTGAATTGGCAGGAAGTGCATGTGGTTGAAAGAAAGGGAATAACTCTTGCAAGCATATTGAAGACACCGGCGAATGTATTTACTAATGAACTTCACTGCATGAAGGATATTACAGTGAAACTCTGTATTAAGTCATCCAAAATGCCAGAAAACTAGACCAGTTTAAGCCATTAAGCCCAAAGTTGAGGCCGAAATGAACTATCTTTTTTCGAAACACAAGTGCTGAAACCCATGTGACTGGGTCAGAGTAAATGGGCTTCAGACCACTTACTTGGTATGAAGCTGGTTTTCCATCACATGCAGCCAGTCTCATGCAGTGATGGGTTTCTGCTTATCAGTATGGTCAATTACAGAACACCAGGTCTGAACAAGGTCTGAACACCACTCTAATGCAGATGGGCCTTCCAGGCTTCCTTTGCCCATCAAGCATACAGAAAACCCATAGGTCGACATCTTTTACTACAGAGAGGTGCCAAATACCCCAGTAATATCAGCCCAAGATAAAAAAAAAAAAAAAAAAAAAAAAAGATAACAAGAACTGATCCAGTCATGTCTGAAATGATGGACATTGTCTTTCTTTGAAGAAAAGGAGAGACAGTTTAAAGCTCCTAGTTCAATCTGGTTGCTCACTGTGGGGCCATCAAGCCACACAGTAATATCTCCACCCCTACGAAGCCTTATGTTAGATGAACTCCACTCAAGGTACTGCCTTGACACAAGGCTTGCCCAGCTTGTCAGAAACTGAGAAACATGCCACAGGCTTGCTGCATTCATGGGACTTCCCAAATGAGCCATGGAAAAGAGTTCAACGAGACTTAGCTGGCCAAGTGGGGGATCACATGTTCTTCATACACTATATGGCCAAAAGTATGTAGATACCTAAGTATTGAATATGCCATTCCAAAACCATGGGCAGTAATATTGAATTGTCCCCCGTATCATATGTACAGATCATATGTAATATGCCATCATCCTATTGTGCCCCCAAACTATACCTGATTGACAATAGTATAATCTGTGGCTCTCTATTTATTTTAAATAAAATTATATAAACTATGCGTGCATGTGCTTGTGGTGAACAGCAGTGAAGATACTTAACGAATTCTTGTATAGTGAAGTAGCGCTGATACACAACACGCTATGTCACTTTCTTAATTTACATCTCCGTTCATGTTCTGAGTGAAGACATTCACAGCTTTATCTCTTCAGAGAAAGATGATGTGTTGCTCTGAGTTGAAGTCAGACAGCAGGTTATTAAGGTTCATATAGGGTACAAAACAGACATTAAAAAAAAACTGCAGACACCACATTTTCTGACAGACATTTAAAACGTCCAACTTGACAGCCATCATGATAGTTGCAATCTATTTGCGATTCCCGATACTATCAGTCATCCCAAGCCTAGTTCCCCCTTTGCTGCTATACAAGCCTCCACTCTTCTGGGAAGGCTTTATACTAGATTTTGGAACATGGCTGTGAGGATTTGTGCCCATTCAGCCACATGTGATGTTGGGCAAGATGACCTGGTGCGCAGCTGTCATTCCAATTCATCCCAAAGGTCATCAGTGCAGTTGAAATCTTTGTACTTACTTTGTAAGTGAGAAGTAGAATTTATTCTTTGTGAAACAGGTAGCCAGTGTAACTCTTGTATGAGTAAGGATTCTAGCAGCTTTTCTAGCAGTTTTTAATGTGTTAGAGTCTATTTACGGTTTTACCAGAAATACCAAAGAATAGGAATTTACAGTAGTCTAAGAATGAGGTTATGAACGCATGAACCAGGGTTTCAGCATCTTTCAAACTAAGCATGGGTCAAAGTCAGGCAATGTTGCTGAGATAAAAAGAGACTTTCATGAGTGAACAAGTATAGGATTCAAGTGAAAATGTGTTGTGTCAAGAATATACCTAGATTATGAACATTTGTAGAGAGTGTAACAGTGATGCCTTCAATACCAACTGAAAATTCTGGAGTTTTATAGCTAAGAGCTTTAGGGTTGACAAGTAAGGTTTCTGTTTTGTCAGGGTTTATTTTAAGAAAGTTAGTGTCCATCCATGACTTTATATTATGAATACATTCAGTTTACAAGGTGGGAGCATGAGCTGTGTTGCATCTTGTACTGAGAAAAATCTGACTGTCATCTGCCTCAGTGGAAGCTAAGACAGTGTTTATTAATGATCTGGCCAAGGGGAAGCATATACTGTCAGGGCCATAAATAATTGGACATTATATTGTTAACTTGACAAGTTATTGTTATTTTGGATGTCTACGACAGTATATTGTAGATGAAAAAAAATAATAATAATTTTTCAGGGTAAGGATGGCTTGCATCACTGGCAGTGACAGCTCTTTGGGATTTTTATTGAGTGTTAACAGCAACAGAATCCAAATGTAAACACCACCCTTGAAATCAAATCTAGACCTTTTATCTGCTTTCTTGTAAGTTACATTATGGAGGAAATAACACACCAATAAATTTTGGTCCCTTAAAACTAGGGATCACATATAAAAAAGTGCTGTAATTCCTACGTCATTCATCAGATTTAGATGTAAATACCCTCAAATTAAAACACATATACAAAATCACACAAACATTTTAATGAAAAACAAGCCAACCTTCCATTTAAGTTACTGTAAAGAATTACATATTGCATTTACTTAACACATTTGCAGGAAAACCTTATACAGTAGTATTGTGCAACTTTCAGATAAATATGTTTTATTTTTAGTGTGTTTGTGTGGCTAAATATTCCTGATGTGTTTTAGGACAGCACCATTCGTGCATACTACATGCACTAGTTTTTAGGGGCTTACACAATGTGATTAGTTGCAATTATACACTGGCAGAAAATACAAACATGTTACATGCACATACACTGACCAGCCATAACCTTAAAACCACCTGCCTAATCTTGTGTAGGTCCCCCTTGTGCCGCCAAAACCCATCGAGGCATGGACTCCACAAGACCTCTGAAGGTGTGCT